CATTCACTGCTGCAAGCCTGTCTCCTGTCCCACAGCTGTAAATTTCAAGAGTCTGACCCAATCAGCAGCAGTAACATCCCCTGCTAGCAGGAGCTCCAGTGCCTAATCTAGCACTCTCCATGACCACTGTCCTACACAAACATCCACAGCCCATAACCATAAATCCCACCCCAGGAAACACACCCCAACCACAAGCTTGCACAAAAACATCCTTCAGCATCACAGGGGAAAGTTACTGCCCAACAATTCTAGCCTTTCTTTCTACTAAGAGCAGCAGGCCATTAAACCATTATGTGGTAGATTTCAGCTTTTCTCTCAATTGAAGGCGCCACCTGCAAGTGGCCACTTCAGTTGGCACAGGAGCACTTACGTGTGTGTGTGTGTGTGTATGAGTGAGGGAAAAAGGATATTTGTGGAAGCTATTGCTGTTTTTCCCCCCACAGTGGCTTTATAATCACTAAATAAATAAAAAAATAAAGGTATAGACGTAAAACAAATGACCCTGCTCAGTGATAAAGACAGAACATTTCTGAGAGCCACTGACAAAGTTTTAACCTTTTTTTAACCTCAAGAAAAAACATTATGAGCAGAAAAACATTCAAGAAAAAAAAACTCCTTCTAACTGCTTCTAATGGTCTGCATCAAGTTAAACAAGTCATGCACAACAGTGAACATTTGCTCCTTTAGACAACAACACAGTTACAGGCTGGTACAGTGAGGCACAGAACAATGCAGCTTAACTGGAGTACAGCCAGATCTTATCAGAGTGTCATGATGACACCAACAGTTTTAATAGCTGAACATGGGCTTATGAGTCTAGCTGACTCACAGGCCTATGTTCTGTTCAGTTCTTCCTCATTTAAAGACATTTAAATCCTCTCAAAAAGAACTAGATTGTGTGAAGAACATCATCTTTAGTTTATCTTTGGACAAACTCACTGTACAATGAAAACCATACAATGACTAAATAAGCTCTTAAGCTCATGGTTAGGCTCATGATTTAAGATGTCTAATCTACCATGATGTGCAACTGGGTAGGTACTGGTGTGAAATTCTTCTGCACCTGAGGCTAAAACAATAATATAAGAAATACAGACTCTCTTGAGCAAAGAAAACTGTAAGGAAATAATATTTTGTATCCTGTTCCGATGCATATCCGCTGTTGTCATAAGAGACATTTAAAATTAAAACCTCATCCCGTTAAGCCCCAATATCCCGAACTTACAATGGATACTTCTAAACACACATTCCTAAAATTGTTTTGGCTTGACGAAGGACAAAGTAGTGAGCTCCGTCACCAATTTCAACATTTTGAGGGAAAAAAAGAAAGAAACAAAAATCAAGAAACAAAAAACAAAAACAGATATTTTAGTGTGAAATTCTAAAAGCAAAAGAAAAGATATGAAATGCTATCAAGCTTGCCCAACATGTGGCATTCATTCAGCGAAATACTTCTTTACTCCCTTTAAAGCAGGTTATTATTCTTCCTTTTTTATTATAACTGTAATTTCACGACAAGCTTTGCTATGTACTTTATGAATAGTTACCGTGGCCTCAAATTTAAAGTGTATTTATTTTGCAAGGTTTTTATCATTAATGTGCTTCGCACCTTCCAGTAGTCTATTGAAGGCACTATAGCTACAAGTGAACATTTGTTCAGAAGGAATGCAGAGTATGCAGGAGAGCGGGGGGATGGGAGGGGGACAGCAGCTAGACTGCGTGCAGAGGACTCCTTTTTCATGCTGATTAAAACTATTAACCAAACTGTCTTTTGCAGCTGAATACGGACAAAAATGGAAACGTAACAATGAAGAACCTTCCCCGACACTTTCATTGCATTTTAATGTTGGCCCTGCAGTACTGTGCACTACATTCATACTATTAAATGCTCTAATACTGGCATAAAGGCCATTCATCCTCACCAGATGTGCAGAAATATTCTATCAAAAGGAAATTGACTCAACACTGACAACAATCACATGAAGGGATTATATGTGATTTCACTATATAATTTCTCAACTTTTCTTTTAGCAAAGATTTGGGCTAAACAATATACTGAAATTACATGTTAACATTTCACTACTTACAATTTCAGGCAAATCAACTCTAATGTTAGAGTTCAACAATTACATCAGGATCATAACACCATTATGAGTATTGTGTAGAGGGATAACACAATAAGGTTCATTGATTATAGGCTGTGAGATTGGATAGAGGTAATTTAGGGATAAAAGAAGCATGGGGACAGGGGTCACCGACTCAATCAAAGGTCACTCACCCTCACATGCTTTTCTTAGACCATATTCTTTGACAGCTTGATTACTGCTGGCTAACCAGTCTTGTGAGCATTGTAACTGAAAGCCCACTTATAATACAAAGAGTAAATGTTCACAACAATCTATTTATGGAGAAACATTAGATGTTAAGTTCATGGTGTGTATGTGGGTGGTCTAGTTAACTCAAACTTATGGCCATGGATAGTCTCTGTGGGTTTCCACCAACCAAACATGTTGTGTGCTAATGTGTTGCCTCTTGGAAGTATGGTGTGAGCTCTTAGTGGAAAATTAAGTGTATTCCAAACTAACATTTGCTCTATAAGTGGAAATATGGGACTCTGATGCCTATATGGGATGCCTATTTGCAACAGGAATAAAAGCTTGCAAGATCTCAACAGGTTGCACACCTTTCAGAGAGAGAAAACACACACACACACACACACGCACACACAGAGTGCTCAACAAAACAGAATAACAGAAGAGACGACACACGTTTCGCTAACCTCCTCCACACCTCTCTCAAAACCTTCTTCCTGTCGCTGAGGCTGTATGTCTGTTCATGTAAAAGACACATAGAGCATGCTGCCAATCACACAACAGTAAAACTGTTTCAAACTGAGGCAGAAATTACAGTATACATTCCCCTTTAATAATCCTAATGATTTGAATATATTTCAGGATGTAAATTCATGGTTCAGTCATACACACACACACACACACATATATATATATA